AGTGGATTTACAGCAACTACAGTATTCTATTTTGAAATATGGATAGTTTATCTCCTCCTCAATATACATACTCATTCACATCATTTCCTGGCTCACTTCAAAACTAGGGCACTTACTAAAGTCACAAAAAGGTGAGAAAGGAAGCAATTAACAGTATAAACAAACCCAAGGAAGGTTATTTTACATCTATCTTGATTCTATTTAAAAACTGCATACAGTCCACTGCCAATTAAGTATACTTGTGAAACATTTCCATCTCCACTAATCTATTATGAAGGCAGCTGCAGGTTACTGTGAAGGACAAGATATGGCAGCACATCCAGAATCAGCCCTGAGAGTTTATCATTTCTGGCTTCAAAATTCAACCTTGTCCTACTTTTAAGAAACTGACAGAATACCAGACTTGGTTCTTCTATATGCCAGCTTGTGGTATTTAAAACCGCAAGATTATTAATCCAGAAACTCAGCTCATGTTCTGGAGACCAGGTTTGAATCCCACCGTGACAGATAGTGGAATTTGAATTGAATAAAAATATCTGTAATTAAGAATCTACTGATGACCGTGAATGAATGTCAACTGTTAGAAAAATCCATCAGGCTCACTCACAGCCACGTGTTGGATCAGAAACTGGCTAGCTGTAAGAAGACAGAGGGTAGTGGTTGATGGGAAATGTTCATCCTGGAGTTCAGTTACTAGTGGTGTACCTCAAGGATCTGTTTTGGGGCCACTGCTGTTTGTCATTTTTATAAATGACCTGGATGAGGGCGTAGAAGGATGGGTTAGTAAATTTGCAGATGACACCAAAGTCGGTGGAGTTGTGGATAGTGCGGAAGGATGTTGCAGGTTACAGAGGGACATAGATAACCTGCAGAGCTGGGCTGAGAGGTGGCAAATGGAGTTTAATGCGGAAAAGTGTGAGGTGATTCACTTTGGAAGGAGTAACAGGAATACAGAGTACTGGGCTAATGGTAAGATTCTTGGTAGTGTGGATGAGCAGAGAGATCTCGGTGTCCATGTGCATAGTTCCCTGAAAGTTGCCACCCAGGTTGATAGCATTGTTAAGAAGGCGTACGGTGTGTTAGGTTTTATTGGTAGAGGGATTGAGTTTCGGAGCCATGAGGTCACGTTGCAGCTGTACAAAACTCTGGTGCGGCCGCACTTGGAGTATTGCGTACAGTTCTGGTCGCCGCATTATAGGAAGGATGTGGAAGCATTGGAAAGGGTGCAGAGGAGATTTACCAGGATGTTGCCTGGTATGGAGGGAAGGTCTTATGAGGAAAGGCTGAGGGACTTGAGGCTGTTTTCGTCAGAGCGAAGAAGGTTAAGAGGTGACTTAATAGAGACATACAAGATGATCAGAGGATTAGATAGGGTGGACAGTGGGAGCCTTTTTCCTCGGATGGTGGTGGCTAGCACGAGGGGACATAGCTTTAAATTGAGGGGTGATAGATATAGGACAAATGTCAGAGGTAGGTTCTTTACTCAGAGTAGTAAGGGCGTGGAATGCCCTGCCTGCAAAAGTAGTAGACTCGCCAACTTTAAGGGCATTTAAATGGTCATTGGATAAACATATGGATGATAATGGAATAGTTTAGGTTAGATGGGCTTCAGATTGGTTTCACAGGTCGGCGCAACATCGAGGCCGAAGGGCCTGTACTGCGCTGTGATGTTCTATGTTGACTCTCATCTGTCCTCAAATAGCCTAGCAAGCCACTCACTCATATCAATCGCTATGAAGTCTCTATAAAGAAAAGAAACTGGATTGACCACCTAGCAGCAACCTAAGCATCAGAAAAGAATGACAGAAACAGCTGTTGGCCCTGCAAACTATTCCTTACTAACATCTGGCAGATAGTGCCCAAATTAGGAGAGCTGACTCACAGACTGGTCAAGCAACAGACTGATAATCAAATTCAAAGAATCATACCTTACAGTCAATGTCCCAAACTCCACCATCACCAGACATTTTCTTTCCCACCAGCAGAGGTGGCGGTACTGTGGCATACAGCGGCCGAGAAAAACTAAAATCAGGGTATCGGGGGCAAACTCTGGTTGGAGTTATACCTGGTTTCCTAGGCCCAACCATCTTCAGCTGCTTCATCTTGCCTCTATCATTAGGAGGAAATGGGGCTGTTCGCCAATTAGTGCACATTATTCAGCAGCGATTGCAACTCTTCAGATAATGAAGCAGCCCATATTAAAATGCAATAAGATCTGGACAATATCCAGGCTTGGGCTGACTAGTTACTGAATACCTCACTATCAACATCCTTTGGGTTTATCAATGACCAAAAACTTAACTGGACTCATCTTATAAATACAGCAGCTACGAGAACAGGTCAGAATCTACAATACAACAGGGAGCACCTCACCTTTGATTCCCCAAAGCCTGTTGGCCATCTAGAAGGCGCAAGTCAGGAGTGTGGTGGCATATGCCCCACTTGCCTAGATGAGTGCAGTCTGACACCATCCAGGACAAAGCAGCCCACGTGACTGGCACCATGTTCACTCCCCCATACCGACACTCGGTGGCAGCACTGCATACCATCCACGAGAAGCGTTGCAGAAATTCACAAAAAGTCCTTAAAAAGGACTTTCCAAACCCACAACCACTTCCAAGGACAAGGGCAAGGTCAACAGATGCATGCGATCACCGTCATCTGCAAGTTCCCTTTCAAGGAACTATATTACCATACCTTCAGTGTCACTGGGTCAAAATCCTGGCATTCTCTCCCTAAGGGCATCGTGTGCCGTCCTACAGCACATGGGCTACGATTCAGGAAAGCGGCTCACCAGTGTCTCGAGTGGCCAGCCCGGTGCACCGACATTCCATGCATGACGGAAAATAGTAATAGGTCTAGGCCATTCATAGGATCCTGGCGAATAGCAACTGCCATGTCCATAGACAACAAGGTGCAGGGCTGGATGAACACAGCAGGTCAAGCAGCATCATAGGAGCAGAGAGGCTGACGTTTCGGGCCTAGACTCTTCATCAGAAAAGGGGGGAGGGGAAGGGGGTTCTGAAATAAATTGGGAGAGAGTGGGAGGTGGATAGAAGATGGATAGAGGAGAGGTGTGTCCATAGGCATGCCTTTGCCCAGTACCCGTCAATGCCCCAACCGGTCGTCGGTCCGGCGGTCCATCCGTCCGTCCGTCCATCCATCCAAGCCTGAAACATACACAACGACTCTGCCTCCACAGCTCTCTGGAAGAACTGTCAACCCTCACAAAATTTCTCCTTATATCGGTCTGAAATTGGCACTCCTTTAGCCTGAGACTATGCCCTGTAATTGTAGGTTCTCCCATGGGGGCAAACATCCACTCAGCATTTACCCGTCAAGCCCCTTAGGAATCCTATATGTTATAATGCGATCCTCTCTCATTCTTCTAAACTCCGGTGAGAGGAGGCCCAACCTGCTTAATCTTGGCTGAAAGACAATCCCTCCACACTGGGGATCATCTACAGCACCGTTCCCTTATCTCCAATGGAATGATTTTTCCTTAAATAAAAAGGAAAAAAACTGCTCACAGTATTCCAGATATGATTTCACCAGCACCTGTACAGTTACTGTAAGGCTTCCCTACTCTTGAAACAAGGGCCATCATTCCTTTAGCCCTCCTGATTACCTACTGCACTTCTGTGCTAGCTTTCTGTTTCATGTACAAGTACGTGCAAGACCCTTGTGTTGCAGTTTTTCTCCATTTAAATAATATGTTCTCGTTCTCCATTTCAAAATAAGAAATATTCACATTATCCCACACTATGCTCCACTTACCAACTTTTTGCTCACTGCCTTAACTAATCAATATCTCTCTAAACCTCTATCTTGCTCAAAATTGCCCTTCCACCTATTTTTGTTTCTTCAGCAAATCCAGCTACAGTACATTTGCTTCTTTCCTCCAAGTGACTGACATACATTGCAAACAATGTGGTCCCAGCACTGATCCCTATAGAACTCCACTGGTCACAGATCACCACCCAAGAAAGACTCCCTTATTCCCACGCACTGTTTCCTGCATATTAGACAATTCACTATCGAATGCCAATATTTTACTTCCAACACAGTGAGTTCTTACCTACAACTTAACTTTTTGTGAGGTACCTTGTCGACACCTTCTCCAAACACAACACATCTCCCAGTTCCCCTCTATCCAACCCGGTTGACACTTCTTCAAAAAATTATATTAGCCAGACACAATTTCCTTTTCATGGAGTTATGTTGACTTTGCTTCATTATGATTCCCAAAATGTTTTACTATTACCTCCTTCATTGATTCAAACATTCCAATATTAAGCCCAAGTTTGTTGAAGATTTGACAAGTATTACTGAAGAAAGCTTGAACCAAACACATACAAAAACTTAATCCCTTACTAGCCATTGGGTTGTGGATGAAATGAGTGGGTGGTTGGAGTACTATGGAAGGAAGGCATGGGGAGGCGAGAAAATTTAGATTCCAATCTCACTCGTTATATTTAAGCAAAACGATGGCACAGAGCCCAGAAAGTTTTATATATAGAAAACACGACAGCTAGCAAAACAGTCCTCTACAGACTAGCAGAACTGTTAAATCAAATAAAATAAGCATTTTGTGACAAAGCATGTTGAACTTTGCCAAGTAAGGGTTTCTCCATTGGTCAGGAAGAAGCATTAAACCTGAAGGAATTAAACAGCTATACACATTATATGTTGGAACAAAAAAGGTGAACGATAGTGGAGAGAAAAAGGGTGAAGAATAGGGAGTAAGGGGTAAAGAAAAAGCGGGGAGATAGGGAGCGAAAAGTGGGGCGGGGGGGGGAAAGGAAGAAGAAAGAATAGGGAGCAAGGGAGAAAAGGGGGAAGAATAGGGAGTATGGGAGAGAAGAGGATAAATAGGGCGCAGAGGAGGGAAACGGAAGATTAAGAATAGCAAGAGAACAAGAGACAGATATGGAGCGAAGGAGGAACAAAGATAGAGAGAGAGAGAAAGAGGCAGAAGAGGGGGTTAGTAGCATCCTTACCAATGCCAGTTATTGACATTAGTGGCATCGGCCCGCTCCTCCACGATCCATCGCGGGTCTCCCTGTCCCCACTTGGCCATAGTGACAGGTCAGGGCGGCTGGGGAAGGTGGCAAACGAGACAAATGAATTAAACCGGCGGCGGCGAGGACTCCAATATCGCAGCTACAGAAAGACCAGCAGATGGTATTTCAAGTCAGATTTTGGGGGAATGTGGCAAAATAAGAATGAAAGTGTGGTGATGTGGGCGGGGGTTTAAGAATGCGAATCAACAAACAGCCCAAGGCCACAGGTTACAAATCCCAGCCAAAGAGACTCCTCTTTGCCAAAACGTCCCGCAACCCCTCTCCCCGAGTCTTTATCCGGTCGCCGTCAGAACATGCTAGAAAGCCGTGACGTCAACGGCGCCGGTTGGGTAGGCGGGTCCCTACTCCCCTCCCTTTATCCGCACTGCAAACTGCTCGCCAATGACGCCAACACCACTTCCGCCCCGCAGTGCCCTTCGCCCACGCACCCACTATTCTCATGATGCCAACATACATCCACCCCGCATTCCCACCCTCTTCCAACCCCCACATGGTCATGACGCCGACACATTCATTCCCTCACTGCCATGCTCACCTCTTAATTGTCTTGACGCTAACGCACTTCCGCCCCGCTCCTTCCCAGACGCCCTGCATTCCGCTTGCCCCTGCGGGACGTTTGTCGTTTTATTGAATGTTCACATGGTTCTTTTCCCTTTATTGTCTGTTTTAATCGGTTAGCTGAAATAATATATAAAATTTAACTTTTTTTGTTCTAAATTGTCTGATCCGTGATCGTAATCGCTGGCTGTGTTCGTTTTATTTTTGATCCGTGGACTGTCGGCTGTTTTAGAAAATGCTAGAAGAATGGACGTCATCATGTGGAACTTTCTGGATAGTTAGTTTCCGGAAGAAGCTCCTCATGAGGCTGTAATTGGGTATTCGTTGTGATTTAGCAAGTCCATTGTATTCAGCTCCTCATAGAGTCTTTACGGCATGGAACGAGGCCCTTCAGCCCACCGTGCGCGCCAGCCTTCAAACAAGCAAGGGTTAGAATAGACAGGCTTTATTGGAAATACTCTGCATTTCTACATCGATTGTGTGGGGTAGACATTGACTACTTTGGTATCGAGAAATAATTCAGATATCTACGGATTCTGTATTCAGTATATAATGATGGGAAACCTAGTCATTTAGTCGTCTCATTTGAAGCTGATTCATTAAAAAAAAGCATATTTTCATTGAAACAATCCAAAACAGAAATTGTTGGAGACACTTTGCAGGTGTGGAGAGGAACAAAGAAAATTACAGCACAGGAACAGGCCCTTCGGCCCTCCAAGCCTATGACGATCCAGATCCTTTATCTAAACCTGTCACTTATTTTTCAAGGATCTGTTTCCCTCTGCCCCCGCCCATTCATGTATCTGTCTAGATACATCTTAAATGACGCTATTGTGCCCAGCTCTACCACCTCTGCTGGCAACGCGTTCCAGGCACCCACCACCCTCTGCGTAAAGAACTTTCCACGCATATCTCCCTTAAACTTTGCCCCTCTTACCTTGAAATCGTGACCCCTAGTAAGTGAGGGTGCTATCCTCTCATGATTTTGTAGACCTCAATCAGGTCCCCCCTCAACCTCCGTTTTTCTAATGTAAATAATCCTAATCTACTCAACCTCTCTTCATAGCTAGCGCCCTCCATACCAGGCAACATCCTGGTGAACCTCTTCTGCACCCTCTCCAAAGCATCCACATCCTTTTGGTAATGTGGCAACCAGAACTGTACGCAGTATTCCAAATGTGGTCGAACCAAAGTCCTATACAACTGCAACATGACCTGCCAACTCTTGTACTCAATACCCTGTCCGATGAATGAAAGCATGCCGTATGCCTTCTTGACCACTCTATCGACCTGCGTTGCCACCTTCAGGGTACAATGGACCTGAACACCCAGGTTTCTCTGTGCATCAATTTTCCCCAGGGCTTTTCCATTTACCGTATGAATTGGAAGAGAGTTGTAAACACAGTCCATCATGTAAACCACATCAGAGACAGTAGGAACTGCCCATGCTGGAGTCTGAGATAACAAGGTGTGGAGCTGGATGAACACAGCAGGCCAGGCAGCATCAGAGGAGCAGGAAAGCTCGTTTCGGGTCTGGACCCTTCTTCAGAAATGGGGGAGGGGAAGAGGGATCTGAAATAAATGGGGGGGGAGACAATAATAGAAGGCGGTAGAGGAGCAGATAGGTGGAGAGATGACGGACAGGTCAAGGAGGCGGGGATGAAGCCAGTACAGGTGAGTGTAGGTAGGGAGTTGGGATGGGGTTGGTCAGTGTGGAGGGAGGGAAGATGGACAGGTCAAGGAGGTGGGGATGAGAGGGGCTGGTTTTGGGATGAGTTCGGGGTTGGGGAGATTTTGAAGCTTGTAAAGTCCACATTGTAAACCACATCCATTGACTCCTATACTTCCCGCTGCCTTGGGAAAGTAACCAAAATAATCAAAGACCCTTCCCATCCCATTACACTCTCTTCCACCCTCTTCAGTCGGTCAGAAGATATAAAGTTACAATACGTGTACAAATAGATTCAAGAACAGCATCTTCCACGCTGTTATCAGAGTTTTGAATTGACCTTTCAAATGTGAATTCTGATCTCTCTCTCTGCAGCTGTAACGTAGTGTTCTGTACTCTGTTCTGCTACCCTGATACACTTTGCACGGTACGATCTGCCAGAATAGCATGCAAAACAGCACTTTTCACTGTATCTCGGTACATGTGACAACAATAAATCAGCAGTCAATCCCAGGAATCATTCTGGTAAATATTCTTTGCACTCGATCTATATCTGTAACATGCCTCCTTTGATAAGGAGACCAAAGCTGCCCACAATACTCTTAAGTGTGGTGTCACCAAGGTCCTATACAATTGCAGTGAGACATCACTGCTTCTGTACTCAAATACTCAATGAAAGCCAACGTACAATTTGCCTCCTCATCACCTACTGCACCTGAATGTTTACTTCGTGACTAGTTTGGAAGGACACTCTGGTCTTGTTGCACGTCCCCCTTTCCTAATCTATCACCATTCAGATAATATGCCAAAGTATTTTTACCTTACATTTATCCACATTATACTACAGCTGAATTTTTCCACTCATTCAGTTTGTCCAAATCACACCGAAGCATCTTTGCATCCTCTTCACAGCTCACCCTCCCACCCAACTTTCTGTCATTATATATTTGGAGTTATTACGTTTAGTTCCCTCATCTAAATCATTGACATATTGTGAATAGTTGGCACCTAAGCCTAGATCCCTGCAGTATCCCACTGGTCCCTGGCTGCCACTCAGAAAATGACTGATTTATTCTTAGTTTTTGTTTCCTGTTTGCCAGACTGCTGTCTATCCATGTCATTACATTAACCCAATCTCATGCGCTTAATTTTTACATGCTAATCTCTTAAATTGGACCTTATCAGATGCGTTCTGAAAGTCCAAGTCAACTACATCCACCCAATAATCAACCGTGAATCTTTGAAAAATTCTAGTAGATTTGGCAAGCATGATTTCCCTTTCATAAATCCACAACTGTCCCTGTCATTGTTTTCCAAGTGCTCTGCTATTAAATCTTTTATAATGGACGTGAGCATTTTCCTGATTATTGATGTCAGGCTGACCATTCTATAATTCCCTGTTTTCCTTCTACCTCCTTTTTAAATAATGGAGTTACATTGGCTGCCCTCCAATCCATAGGAACTGTTCCAGAGCCTAGAGAATCTTCAGATGATCAGCAAAGCATCCTCTATTTCTAGGGCCAATTCCTGAGTACTCTGTATTGTAGATTGTTGGGCTCAGTGGATTTGTTTGCCTTTATTCCCATAAATTTCCTCAACACCATTTACCTACTAATACAGGTTTCCTTTAGTTCCTCTCTCTCACTAGATTATGTGTTCCCAATGTTTTTGTAACATTATTTGTGTCCTCCTTTGTGAAGTAGGAAACAAGTTATGTATTTGATTGTTCTGCCATTTCTTTGTTCCCTATTATAACTTCCCCTGTTTCTGATAGGAAGGGATCTACATTTGTCTTCACTAATCTTGTTCTCTTCACAAACTGCTGGAAGCTTTTACATTCAGTTTGATTGTTCCCTGCAAGTTTACTCTTGCACTCTATTTTTCCTTTCTTAATCAATCCCTTTGTCCTCTTTGCTGAAATCTAAACTGCTCAAGGCTGAAAGATACATTTTTTTGTGTGTCATGGAAGTAAGGAAAATGGAAAGTTGCAGTAAAATATCAGCATAACTTTATTGGATAACAAAGTAGTCTTTAGTGCCTACTACTATTTCTTACATTCTTATGTTAGTACATTATAAAATGTTGGCATAACTTCCTTGTTTTTGTACTACATGCCTATGATTTCAACAAGGCAGAGATTCTGTACTCATTTTTAGCAATGTTGTCCTGCTTCCTTCAAGGTTTTGCGTCTGTACGGGATAAACCCAGGTCCATTTGTTCCTATACCCCATTTAAAATTGTGCTATAGATTGATTACAGCATTCGGAGGCCATTCGATCAAGTTTATGTCACTGACTGCAAGGACAATTCGTCCCACTACCCTTTCCCCACATCCGTCAAAAACTTTCTCTTTGGATGCTTATCAATTGGTTTTTGAAAGTTGCAGACAGATCTGTCTCAACTACACTATCAGGCAGTGCATTCCAGAATCTAACAATCTGCCATGCAAAAGGATTTTTTTACATCGAGGACGCA